TGTGGTTGTTATCTGTCATTTGTGAGATTTGGTTTGCGATATCATGGATTCTGGATCAGTTTCCTAAGTGGCTGCCAGTAAACCGTGAAACATATCTTGATAGACTTGCTCTTAGGTAAGATATCCTTCTTTTTCAGTTTCTTCAATTACTTTGTATTTTCTACTTGATTTTAAAGCCCAAATTACAATTTGCATGACAGATATGATCGAGAAGGGGAGCCATCACAATTGGCTGCTGTTGATATATTTGTCAGTACTGTTGACCCTCTAAAGGAGCCTCCTCTTGTTACTGCGAATACAGTCCTATCAATTCTTGCGGTTGATTATCCCGTTGATAAGGTCTCATGCTATGTGTCTGATGATGGTGCTGCAATGCTGACTTTTGAAGCTTTATCAGAAACAGCTGAATTTGCAAGGAAGTGGGTTCCTTTCTGTAAGAAGTACAGTATTGAGCCAAGAGCTCCAGAATGGTACTTTGCTCAGAAGATTGACTACTTGAAGGATAAAGTTCAGCCATCCTTTGTTAAAGATCGTAGGGCTATGAAGGTGCTTTTCTCTTACAGCAGAGTTGTCTTCTGTTTTATGTAAATCCATGGCTTTATGCATCTCTACATTCTTCTTCTACAGAGAGAATATGAAGAGTTCAAGATACGTGTTAATGCCCTTGTTGCAAAGGCTCAAAAAGTGCCTGAAGAAGGATGGATCATGCAAGATGGTACACCATGGCCTGGAAACAACACCCGGGATCATCCGGGAATGATTCAGGTAATTCCTAGTTCTGTGCTGTTAAAAATGCATGTGAAAAATAAACTGATAAATCGTCTATTGTTTTTATGCTGTTTTTTCTGTAATGATATAGTTGATTGAGTATATTTAATAGATATGCTTTATGTTATATAGCTATCCGAAAGGCAGTACTTTCTTTCAGAACTAACCTTGTTAATTACTTCATTAGGTTTTCTTGGGTCAAAGTGGAGGGCTTGACACTGAGGGTAATGAGCTTCCCCGGTTAGTCTATGTTTCTCGTGAGAAACGGCCAGGATTTCAGCATCACAAGAAAGCTGGTGCTATGAATGCACTTGTAAGCATTTAGAAATTATCATGGTGCTTCTTCCTTTATGTGTGTACTGTAGCTCTTTATTTAAAAACTCTCTTGCAGGTTCGTGTTTCTGCAGTTCTTACCAATGGACCATTCATGTTGAATCTTGATTGTGATCACTACATAAACAACAGCAAAGCGTTGCGAGAAGCAATGTGCTTTATGATGGATCCTAATCTTGGAAAATATGTCTGCTATGTTCAATTTCCACAGAGATTTGATGGTATTGATAGGAATGATCGATATGCCAACCGTAATACTGTTTTCTTTGATGTAAGTTTTTATGAGCCTCACTTGTTACACAATCTAGTTCTGCTATACTTAACATCATGCATGACAGCATTGACTCCTCTGCCATAATTTCATGCATACTTGTTATGTCTCCTTTGAAAACAGATAAACTTGAGGGGTTTAGATGGCATTCAAGGACCTGTTTACGTCGGTACTGGATGTGTCTTCAACAGAACAGCATTATATGGTTATGAACCTCCTCTTAAACCAAAGAAGAATAAGAAGCCTGGATTGTTCTCTTCCTGCTTTGGTGGTTCAAGAAAGAAAAGTTCTAAATCTAGTAAGAAGGGTTCAGATAAGAAGAAATATGGCAACCATGTGGATCCTACAGTGCCAGTATTCAATTTGGAAGACATTGAGGAGGGGTTTGAAGGTATGACTCATTACAATCTTTATTTCTTGGTTGTAGGACTGATATAGAGTTGTATGTTTTTAAGTTAGTAGTACTCTGTGCTTTGATGATTATATATTTCTAAAGAGCACTTTGATGCATATGTTCTATATCTTTCATCGTCTTCCTGAATGCAAGGATGTATATGTGTGCATGCACAGCACATATGTACATAAAATTGAAAACTGAGGACCTATATTGTTATATATTGTGAATGCACACCCTACATTCATAACATTGTCTGTTTGCCTTTGCAGTCTCTATAGCTAAGTCATTGTTCATTCCATTTCCAATTGCTTCAGAGTTCAGATAAAGTTTGTCAATGAATGAGGAGTCAAATCATAGATGTACATTAACTTATCATCTGGAGTTCAAAGCCTGAGATGGAATAAATATCATATTTTGTAGAGTTTATAGTGGATAACCAATTCTTAACTTGCAAATGGAGAAGTGGACAGACTTGAGCAAACAGCATATTTAAAAGAATATCTGATACTCTGATCCTGGCAGGAAAATTTACATGGAATCTTCAACTATCAGAATATCAGATATTCTTTCTTGTCTGATTTGTGCTAAATTTTCCTTTTTACCTTAAAACAGGAGCTGGATTTGATGATGAGAAATCACTGCAGATGTCTCAAATGAGGCTTGAGAAAAGATTTGGTCAATCTACTGTTTTTGTTGCATCAACACTTATGGAAAATGGTGGTGTTCCTCAGTCTGCTACCCCAGAGACTCTACTGAAGGAGGCTATTCATGTTATCAGTTGTGGGTACGAGGACAAAACAGAATGGGGAAGTGAGGTATGAAAAAATTACTAGGGTCCTCTTTTGCCTTTCTTCTAGAAGCTTATTAAATGATGTTATGTGATGACTGTGTGTGTGTGTGTGTGTGTGTATTGGGTTTTGGGTGAATTTTTTTTTATAAAAAAAGTAAAAAATGTAATCTTCTAATTTGAACTTCTAGAGCATAGAAAATTGCTTGTCCTAAATTTTTGTTATAACACAACTTTTTTTTTCTTTCAAAATACATATACTCTAACAAACTTGTGACTAGAAATTATTGTTTCATCGATGCTTTTGGAACCTTACCTTTTGCTTGGTTGCTTAACATACACTCTGATTGATCCATTTTCTTTTGATCATCATTTTATGTATGCAGATAGGATGGATTTATGGTTCTGTCACAGAAGATATTCTTACAGGATTCAAAATGCATGCCCGTGGTTGGCGATCAATTTACTGCATGCCCAAGAGGCCAGCCTTTAAAGGTTCTGCTCCTATTAATCTTTCAGATCGTTTGAACCAAGTGCTTCGATGGGCTTTGGGATCTGTGGAAATTCTTTTCAGTAGGCACTGCCCTATATGGTATGGATATAATGGAAGGTTGAAATGGCTAGAGAGATTTGCTTATGTTAACACCACCATATATCCAATCACTTCAATCCCTCTTCTTCTTTACTGTACTCTTCCAGCTGTCTGTCTATTTACGGGGAAGTTCATCATTCCACAGGTTCGTTTTAAATTTTTTTTATTCATGATTATTGAAAACTGCATGTTAGAATTAATACTGCCCCACCTCCAGCACAAATATTATTGCCCTTGTCAGCTCAATATTCATATGGCCTAGAATTTGAATCACATAGCATATATGAAAAAGTAAAATAAAATGAATGAACGGGTTTCTTTTCCTTTGATGAACATAGAGGATAAGATATTGTTTCATAATCATTGTGGATAGCAACAGAATTCTCAATTATCTGTATGTAAAACTGTGTACATTGCCGAATAGGTGGGCTTGGCCCATCACGCACTCTACTAGGGAGGGTTAGGGTTACATTCGACAGAAATATTCTCATTATGTGTTTCCTCAATGCTGTGTGTTGCAGATTAGTAACATTGCCAGCATCTGGTTTATATCCCTTTTCCTTTCCATCTTTGCGACCGGTATACTAGAGATGAGGTGGAGTGGTGTTGGAATTGATGAATGGTGGAGGAATGAACAGTTTTGGGTTATCGGTGGTGTCTCAGCTCACTTGTTTGCTGTGGTCCAAGGGCTGCTTAAAGTGCTTGCCGGGATTGACACAAACTTCACCGTCACATCCAAGGCGTCCGATGAAGACGGGGACTTTGCAGAACTCTACTTATTCAAATGGACAACACTTCTGATACCTCCCTCGACGCTCCTCGTCATAAATTTGATAGGCGTTGTTGCAGGGGTCTCGTATGCCATCAACAGCGGTTATCAGACATGGGGACCTCTCTTTGGTAAACTATTCTTCGCCTTCTGGGTCATCATTCACCTCTATCCCTTCCTCAAAGGTCTCATGGGACGCCATAACCGCACCCCCACCATCGTCGTTGTCTGGTCTATCCTTCTCGCCTCCATCTTCTCCTTGTTATGGGTGCGAATCGATCCCTTCACGACTCGAGTTACTGGCCCCGATGTTCAGGAATGCGGTATTAACTGCTAGAAAAAAAAAAAAAAAAAAAACCGAAGATTGAAGGACCAAAAGGTGGACAATGCTGACTGATTGCTGAAAGTTGGATTGCCATTATGTGAAGAAGTTTGCATGTCTAGAACTGGGAATGTGCTTCTTGTTCCAATACTAAAACAAAATGACGCCGTTTTGCCCCCCTCTGTCCTGTAATCCTCCTGTGTACTCAACTCAAGTGGCATTCCATTCTTGTCCCAATGAATACATGGTGGGTGCCACCTTGCTTCATTGTAATTTGTAATTATTCATTAACTTGCACTCTCAATTTGTTCTTAGTGATGTAGTTTTAGTTCAACTAATTACTAATTAGTTCAATTTGTACTTGTTGGCATAGTTTTTGATTAATTTGGAAAATACTCTATTTACTTCCAAATTTACTTTCAACTTTTACTTTAGACTCTCAAATATTTGACGAAGACAGTTTGAAAAATACTACTTAGACTCTTAAATTTTACTCTCAACTTGTACGTAGACATTTTCTTTGAGACTACTAGATCATGGTGAAAATGGCGGTTATAGTGATATATATAACCAAAAAAATAATTTTTTTAAAGTTTGATTTATGTTTTTTTTTTGAATTTTTCTAAGGGTCCTTAATTAACGTAAATGGGTTGTAACAGGCGTGTCAGCCAAGTGTACACAACACGTTTGACGTGTGATACTGGGAAAATTGAACGGCTGAAGCATGAACATTTGCTTGGTGGGAAAAAGAAAAATGTGGACCTCAAAAAACCAGGTAAGCAAAAGCAAAATTAGCATGCAAATTCAGAATCTGAGAAGCCGTATCCACAAACAGAAAGATTCTTCCCCGGTGTGTTCTTAGCCTGATCTGAATTCTGTAGGATCAGAATCCTGAAGAGAATACTCTACTGCTACTCCCCTTTCCTTTATCCCAAGACATTTCAAGAATCGTGGGGGCCGGCCGGGGCAATAATCCATTATGGTTGGAGCTATTGTATCCACAAGTTCAATTGCCGACACCCAACACCCAACCCCCCGTTTCTGCATAAACCCCCCCAACTGCGGCGATTCTTATAGGTTCTGTTTCAGGGCCCGCGGAGGAGAAGTGGGTTTCTGGAGAAGCTTGCAGGGAAGGCGGCAGTTGAAGCTGGGCAGTAGGGCTGCAAATGGGGTTTCCAGAAAGAGGCAGAAAGTCAGGAAATTTGTTGTTTTTGGTGAGCTCAAAGGACAGACGGACGACTCCTTTAATGATGTCAAAGAGGTAAGCACACTTTTGGTTTTTTTTTGTTTTTTTTTTTGTTTTTTTTTTTTCTGTTGTCATTTTGTTAAAGTTCATGTCTTTTGAACTATGATCAGTGTTTGGAGGGTTTGAACTTAGCAGTCCGAACCATTAATGGTGTGATTTGCTTTTAGTATAGGGGTGTAAATTCTCTTACTTCAACCAGCAACCACTACCCGAGAATATACACCCCAGCTCTCGCTTTGTGACCCTAGCCTCCCTGCCTAGGTTGCCCATATAGAACTCAAATCACTCCCGAGAATGTGTATTGGGTAAATCCCGCATCCTCTAGTTCAAACTAAAAGGGTCAATTGGCGCTCCTGAGAATGTGTACATAAACCCGGCCCACATTGTGACTAGCGACCCCCCGGCTCAAACCAAGAAGGCCTAGGTTGCCCATATCTGAATAGCTGACTGACTCAAACCACTCCCAAGAGTGTGTAACAAGTAAATCCCGCCTCCTGACCGGTTTAAACCAAGAGGGTCAATAGACTCTCCCCCGAGAGTGTGCCCACATTGTGACTCTAGCGACCCCCAGCTCAAACCAAGAAGGTCTAGGTTGCCCATAGCTTACTAACTCTAACTCAAACCAAGAAGGTCAATAGGTCACTTCTATGGGAGTTGAACTTGTAAGTTGTGGTTACCAAATCAATAGCGTGATAGGTGTTCTATTACAATATAATTATATAAAGGTGTAGTTATGATTTCATTGAAGAAAGGTGGAGTATGAAACAGCAAAAGATGTAGACAAGTTAACTTATGTCTTAATGTAAGATGTCTAATATGAATTCATGGCCAATACATTGGTTCATCTAAGAACAAGTTCCATGAAGTGGTATAAGAACATAGGTACTCAGATCATCTTTTCTATGTTTTCACATGATTAGATCAGATAGGTTGAGTCTCCAAAGAAAATGTTTGTGCAGCGTTTTTGCAATGGCTAGTCTCATGTTTTATTGGAAACCGCTTTGTACGAAGCCTCAACATCTCCTTTAGATGCAAATATGAAAGTTCTGGACTTTTCCTGGTACTTTGCCTTGGTTAAGGTTTACTGTCTTTTAGAGCAGAGACTAAGAATCGGGGTTGGAATTACACTCGCCCAACCTTGGGTAATTCGTGTCACAAGTTTATTGTTCTGCCATATATGCTAGACTGGACTTTCTATATTGTAATTTTATTACACAACCCATCATTCATCAAGCAATTCAAATGGTCTTTATAGTTTTCATTTGAGAACTTTAAGAATGGACGGGGGAATAAATCAAGTCACTTCGGAAGACATTAGCAGAGAAGTTAGTTAACAGATTACATGCAATTTGTGGTTGTTTTCAAGTGATGTCTTTTTTGATTTGTCATGATATTCGTTATTCTGTACAGGAGATAGTGAATGTGATGACATATAAAGCTGTAAGAACCGTTCTTCACCAATTGTATGAGCTGAATCCCCCGCAGTACACGTGGTTCTACAAGTGAGTACGTTTCAGCATTTTTTACTCGGGAAAACTACAATTATCTTTCTTTCAGAAAGGGATTGCGAGATCTGTGTTCTTGTAAGATTCTTGCTATTTTCTCTCTTTTGACAGCTTTATTGCAACGCAAGGGCCCAACACCGGGAAGGGGTTTCTCATGGAACTTTTCAAGGTAATATTTTGAAACAAATAATCCCCGAATCTTCTTACCATGTTTTTGGTGTAAACCACAATGTGGTCCGGGTCTTTCTCTGTCCGTTTAACGGTCCAGGTCCACCCGGTTCGCTCCGAGAGGCACAGAAGCTGGCCCAAAGGGAATCGTCACTTCTGGGAATCGAACCTGGGTTATACCGAAATCCTCCCCCACAAAGAGAGCTCATTGCATTCGTTCAAACGTCACAAGAAAATTAGACATATTTTCTTGAAATTGATAAAATATTGTCTAGTAGATGATAGAACCATAAATGGAACAATTCGGGTAACTCCCGAGTTTTGCAGGAAAGACGGGAGCTTGCAGAAAGAGTGATGATAACGCGTCTCCACTTGTATAGCATATGGATGAAGGTATATCATATAACTATAGTTCAAACATAAACTGCACGGCTCGTTTCAGATGTCATTTTTCCAATACACAAAACTCACAAACTAAACAGTTTTCCCTGCTGGCTTGTTCCACTACTGGGATGTAGAGATGTGATCACGCAGAAATGTACAAAAGAATCTCCAAAGAGAACGTTGAGATGATGCGGGAGCGCCTCTTTCAAACTGTTATATGGCCATCTGAAGATGATGAAAATGCAGAAAATATGGATTCATAGGACATATATATATATATATGCTTTCCTTCCAAGATTTTCCGCTTCATTGGTTCATTTTCTCATCTTGATAAACAAAATTGTCTTCTGTCTACCATAGACTGTTCTGAATGCTGCTATCTCATTTGTATTGCTGGTAGAATTTAACAATGTTTTCTTCTCCCAAAGAAGTATATGGGACTTAGAGGTTAATTTAGAGTTCTTATGGTGGTATTTAATAAGGAGTATGTTACTAGTGTGATGTTTGTATTATAAAAATAAAACTAATATTTCCTACTCGGGACTTAGCGTAGTGGTTTGTTGCCTGACTTGTAGTCTTGGATTGGATCCTCTGTACGCGCATGAAGACTAAGGTTTAACTGGTGAGCTGACTGCACAACTCATGATTTACCTCTGCAGTGGCTCTAGAGGCAGGGTCTTGTGAGTTTAGGCCGAGCCTCCAATTTTTGTAATATAGGCTCTGGTGTAGTGAAGACCGGTGAAAACATGCGGTTAAATCTTAGTCTTAGATCAACTCCTCCTTAAAAAAAATTCACCACCTACCATCTACAACAATGTGCACTGAAAGACACAAAAATGTGTTCTAGAAGGCATAACAATATGCACTGGAAGACAAAATTTTGCACTGTAAGGCATAAAAATATAAAACAATTATTGATAAGACTAAATTTAATACATGATTTTCAACAAAAATCATAAATGATCACAATATTCAACTAAAATTAATAATTAATGATTCATTCAATATCAAATGCTTTATATAAATATATACACATATATAAGTGTGAGTTGTTTATGGTAGTGGTGTGGCCGTGTGGGACGACAGAGATGAAGTGCATCACAGCATGGGCAAGAAAAGGGAGAGTGGTCTGATAATTAATAATTAATTTTATTATTAATTGATTATTTATCTGGTAAAGTATTTACATATGGAAATGAAATACATATTGAAATGCAATTTGCATATCTTAAATGTTAAAGGAAAATTGACCTAATTTTTTTTTTTCATTAGTATTGGTTAAATATTAACCAATTTTAAATATTAGTTAAAAAAAAAAACTCATCCCTTCCCCATCGTCTTTGGTAGGGAGACAAATACTACGGCTTCGCCTTTGGTATATTAAAAACCTATAGTTGCAAATATAGGTAATAAATTAACAATCATGATATGATTAATAATTATTTACTATTTTCATTTATGTTGAGAATATTATGTATATATATTAAGAAAAAAAGTAGTATTTGATAAATATGATAAATAATTAATATCAATTGTGATTTTTTTATTTACTAATACTTGAATGTTTTTTTATTACCTAAAAGTTAGCATTTAGTCTTTTTCTAGTTAACGTTTGCTCTTTAGGCGGAAACAACATCATTAGTCTTTGACTTGATATGGTGAGCGAATGCTAATCATGCTTGTTTTCATGTGGAATTAGATTCATCTTTATTTGTTTGCTTAATTGCTTTGGATAATTGACCAATATAATTCTTAGGTTGTTTAGCAATCCGCGGTTAGCGAATTGTATAGGGATGAATACGTGTAAATACTTTATATATTGAGAAAATTAATCATGGGTTTGAATTAATTAAACAAATAACAAAATTAAGGATTTAATATATATGAATGCGGAAGAATCTCGTATTTTCATTATAGAATGATTGAATATTACAAAGGGAAGTGTTAGAATGAGACAAAGTATGTCTTAAACTAGACAATGACTCAATTATTTATATTACATTCTTAACAATCTCCACGCAAATAGGACGCCTTCGTGAGACTCAATCTTCGTCCAACAACCATGTTGACCGACCTTGGTGTCCATGGTGACCCAGTGACATCATGGTTGACTCCGGGATAAAAAATTGACGCGACCTTTCACTTCCTTGTGTAGTCTTTGGTTGACCCTGACTCTCCCAGAAACATCCTCCGAACTCATGTTTTGCCGTCCGAATTGGTTGTCTCATTTATTTTTTGTACGTTTTTTAAGGAATTAAAGTAAATGTTATGTGTTTTTCAATTACGCCCTTCACTTTTTTCACTTTTGGAAATAAAAGTACTAGAAAAAGCAAGAGTTATAAGGGTAATTTGGAAAAAGTAGAATGTTGGTAATGTCCAATTTTAGAAAAGAACAACATTTTGGAACAAACTAAAAAGAAAAGTAAGACAGGTAAAATTAGACCGAGGGAGTAATTATTTTTTAGTATAATTATACACTAGTTATACCATTAATATTAATAATTTCATGCATATACACACACATGTATGAGTTTGCACAAAATATGAATGAAATACTATGTTCTCGAGAACTCACATCATGTAGAAATCAGGTTGCCCCTTTGCTTTTTCCATCAACATTAGCTTTAATTACACATCCTATATTTATTTACTACTATTATCCATCCTATATATACTTTGGTATGTTAATTCCAATTGTTTCTTAATTAAATAAATAAGAAATATCAAATCATCACTCCTTTAAACCCTTAAACTTCTCCTAATAAAATTATTTAATTTCCCCCATCTTAGCATATAAATATTAAGAAAACTAGTATTTTTCCCGTGCGATGCACATACATAATTTTAAAAGTATTGTTTTAATTATAATACTAAGTAGATATAATTTTATTTTTTAGAAGAGATATAATTTTATTAAAATATTAATATAAATATACACTGTGATATTTTTTTTTTCTTTTTGAAATTTAACTATAAAATGTAAAACTTATTCATTTAAAAAAGTTTATCTATGTAAGAATTATATTGATTTTATATAGAGATTTTTCATTTTTTACATATGTGGAGTCCAATTATAATTGAGGTGTGGTTCAATTATAATTAACATTTAATACAAATCAATATCTATTTATACGCGTAATATTATCTTTTAAAGATTTCATCTAATTTTAGTATTTAATAAATTTATAACTTTGTACGTATTTTTTTGCTTGTATATAAACCCAACAATCTTTTCATATATATATATATATATATATATATAACTTATTTTTGGGCATTACAAAAATAAAAAGATAAATCAAATAATATTTTTTATAATATAATAAAAAATAAAATTTTAATATAACAAATGGTAGGCTAATATATGGTTACATTTTTTTTTTTAATTTCTGGCTTAAAGTTAATCCATTGTTGAGGCCCAATACCTAAAATTTATTAAACCCATAAATATTGGATAACTTTTCCCTATAAATTGTTGTTGTTTTTATATAGTAAAGATTATACAATACACTACATAAAATAAATGGATAAAGTATATTAGTAATGTATTTTTTTTTCAAATTGAATGAATAACTAAAGAGCTTTAAGCCTTTAAATTACAAGATTGTATGAAAAGGATTATTTTGCGATATCTAGAGGGGTCAATATGGAATATTATAAATATAAAGGAGCATAGGGTAAAAACACCTGTAGTTTTCACCTTTTGCAGTTTACCCCTCTCTTTTTTAGTTCATACTTTATTCTCTGGATTTGACTCCGAAACTGACCGCTGCCGGGCGTCCGCTCCTCACTGGCGGACTCCAACTCTCTCATTTAAATCCGCTTTACTTTCATCTTTCAAATCCGCCACATCCTCACCCGGTCACCCACACCCCGCCCAACCTGCTGAACCGGTAGCCCGTCCCTCCTTCTTCAACCTACCCACCGGCCTATACTTACACACACAAATATATATTCATTTGACTCTTCACTTCCATTTCATTTCCTTCTCATTTGCATTTGGATTTCATTTCATTTCATTTCCCTCTCTCTATCTCTCTTGCTTTCTCTCTCTAGGTCTGTCACTGTCTTCCGATCTTCTTGTCTCACTGTTTATCTCTACCTATATAGACACGCAACGGATTATATACATATATATATAGGTATACGACGTACGCATACGCAGGCCGGAGCTTTTTGCGTGTAGAAATTATCATGGGAGTGCTATTCGCTCTCGGTTGCTGTTGGAGTTGGAGCGACAGACGGTGGATATGATCCACATCGGAAGTGAATCTCCGGTCGCCGTAGCCGCCTTGCTGTGTTGAAGTCTCCGTCCGCCTCCCTTTCCCTCTCCGCGGATCTGTGCGGCGCTTCTGTTGATGAATATTGGTACGTTCGTTTCTGGGTTGTATTGTTCTCTTAGCTCCTGTGTTGGTTTCGGTTGAGTAGACAAATTTTTGTTAGTTTTTGGGATTAATTTTGTTTTCTTCATATTTTGATCTGTAGTTTATATGCGTAAAATTATAGATTTTGTGAATTTTTTTGGTGGTATGTTTTTCTGTATGACTCTCTGGTTTGTTTTTTTTTTTTAATAATTTTTTTTTTCTGGTTAAAAATGCGATCTTTGGAGATACGGGGAGTTAACAGTGGGGAAAATGACTGCTTCAGAATATATGCTTCGATGCGATTCTAGTTGATGTCTTGTCTTTTAACAGACATATTCTTCAGTTCAACTTTTTCTTTAGGTGATGTAAACTTGGTATAATATTGTTGTCTGTGTTCACCTGAGAGAATGTAAATAAAGTGGAGAAAATCAAATCAGAATCATTTCCTCAGCAGACAGAATATGTAGCACTGATTTTATTTTATTTTATTTTTCCTGTTTCTGATCTGGTATTTGGATGAGGTATTGATATGTTTAAATTGACCCTTTTTCTGTGAAGTGGTACCCAATATGTTTCACCCCTTCTAGAGTCTGGTTTTAAAGGAGTAGATCTATGTTAATGGTTTGTGTTGATGAGTTCTGAAATTGTTGTTTGTTTTTGTTTCCCTGTTTTTATCTGGTCCTTGTCAGTGAAAAAGCATATGATCCCTGAGATCTGATTCTTGGGATTGGTTTAGATTCATATGTATTCTTGGTTTGCAGGTGACTGAACCATGTGCAGTGGCCCAGAGCAATCAAATTCTGCTACAGCTACCAACCAATCTTGTTCTGATACCAAATCTAGTATGAAGGACATGTGCAAGGATACCATTGAGACTGATGATGCTTTTTCTAGTTTACTTGAGCTTGCTGCAAACAATGATGTAGATGCGTTTAAGCGGTCTATTGAGTGTGATTCGTGTGGGGTTGACTCGGTTGGGCTTTGGTTAGTCCGAAAGAAGGGCTCGAAGCAGGTTGTTAATGAGGAAAGGACTCCTTTGATGGTTGCTGCCACTTATGGTAGTGTTGATGTCTTGAGGTTGATTCTTGCTCAGCCTGGAGTGGATGTTAATCGAGCTTGTGGGCCAGACAAGATCACGGCTCTTCACTGTGCGACGTCTGGTGGTTCTGTTAATGCCTCTGAAGTGGTGAAGTTGCTGTTGTCAGCAGGGGCTGACCCGATTGTTGAAGATGTTAATGGTCAGCGGCCTGCTGATGTAATTGCTGTTCCTCCTAAGCTTCCGGGGGGTAGGGCTTCTCTTGAAGAGCTGCTTTTGAACAATACTTCTGATGGTTCGGTTGGGGAGTGCAATTTGCGAGTGTCGGTAACCACTTCGAATGCGTCCTCACCGATCCTCTCTTCGTCACCCGACAATGGATCTCCGTGTTCACCGTCAGACTTGGTATCTTATCCAAGGGAATCGAAGTTTTGCGATGTTCCTGCTAATTCTGCACCGGAAAAGAAGGAATACCCTATCGATCCGTCTCTTCCCGACATCAAGAACAGCATATATTCGACTGATGAGTTTCGGATGTTCTCTTTCAAGGTGCGGCCTTGTTCTAGGGCGTATTCTCATGACTGGACGGAGTGCCCCTTTGTGCACCCGGGGGAGAATGCACGCAGAAGGGATCCTAGGAAATACCATTACAGTTGTGTGCCGTGTCCCGAATTTCGCAAGGGGGCCTGCAGGCGTGGTGATATGTGCGAGTATGCTCACGGGGTGTTTGAATGCTGGCTACACCCGGCTCAATATCGTACTCGCTTGTGTAAGGATGGCACCGCGTGTGCTAGGCGAGTGTGCTTTTTTGCCCACACTCCCGAGGAGCTTCGACCCCTGTATGTCTCTACTGGATCTGCAGTTCCATCTCCGAGGTCTGCTGCTGCAACTGCGAGTGTTATGGACATGGCTGCTGCGTTGAGTCTCCTGCCCGGGTCACCATCTTCGCACCCCGTAATGTCTCCTTCGTTCAATCAACCCATGTCTCCTACCGCCAATGGAATGTCTCATTCACCTGCAGCCGCCTGGCCACAACCGAACGTTCCGACGCTGCATCTCCCGGGAAGCAACCTCCAGTCGAGTCGGCTGAGGTCTTCTCTCAGCGCCCGAGACATTCTGCCCGAGGATTTGAACATGCTGCAAGATTTTGATGCGCAGCAACTAATTCTAAATGACTTGGCTTGTTTTTCACAGTCGCGTCACAATTCTGCTTCTTTGAACCATTCTTGTCGTTCTAAAACACTAACCCCTTCGAATCTTGAAGAGCTTTTCTCTAACGAGGTCGCCTCCTCTCCTCGCTACTCTGATCAGGCAGCCGCGGCTTCTGGCGTTTTCTCGCCTTCACACAAATCGGCTGTTTTCAATCAGCTCCAACAGCAACAGAGAATGCTTTCGCCCATCAATACTAGTGTGTTTTCTCCTAAAAACGTTGAGCACCATCTTTTGCAGGCTCCATTTGCAGTCTCCTCCCCGGGAAGAATGTCCCCAAGAAGCGTGGATCCCATATCCCCAATGAGCGGCCGCCTCTCTCCATTTGCTCAATCCGAGAAGCAGCATCAGCAGCTACGCTGCTTTAGCTCCCGGGACCTCGGTTCCAACAACCCCTCCATCGTCGGGTCCCCTTCAGCAGCAGCAGCAGGTAATTCTTGGTCCAATCTAGGATCCCTGAATTCCAACATCGACTGGTCTATCAATGGCGATAAACTGAGACACCCGGGAAGGTCTTCTTCCGAGCAGCTTAACAACAACAATGGAGAGGGGCCTGACCTATCATGGGTGCAATCTCTTGTCAAGGAATCACCACCCGAGATGATGAAAGACAAGTTGGCAGCCCCGATCTCGGGCACTGCTGCTACGCCATCTGGTTCTCAAATCGACTCCATGGATCCTCATTCAGTTCTTGGAGCTTGGCTGGAGCAGATGCAACTTGATCAGCTTGTGTAGCCTAGTGAGAAAAAGTAATCAATTTTTTTTTTTTTTTTTTTTTTTTTGCTTTAGACAAAACTGAAGTCTTTAGGGAAGTATATAGTATTATTTTGCGGCTTATTTTTTGGCTGGTGGAAAGGAGCGCTGAAGTGGGGTAACAAAAGAAGGAAGACAGGCCAAAGGTTTCATTAAATTTCAATCTTTTATTTGATTAAAGCAGCAGAAGTCAAGAAAATTGTTGTCTTTCTGGGGCTGTAACCAAGAAAACCCAGTCCCAGATTGTGTAATGTTTCATTTCTGTAATACATAATTGTAGGACCAATTTTCCCCCTTACATTTCCTTTCACTAAGGTTTTTTAACTGTATTTTCATTCCCTTATTCACTAAGTCATGTAATTTCTATGTCATGATTTGGAGGAATGTAAGAGAAAATTACACAATGAAAATCCTGAATCCTCTCTATTATTATTATTTTTAATAATGAAGTTTAATTGAGTTTAAGGATCTGTCCATTTTAAGCATAATTGTTACTTTGTTTGTTGCTACCGAGGTTTTTTTTATTTTTTATTTTTTATTTTTTATTTTTTATAATATTGTCTATTGAACTAGTGAGTTAAGCTCGTGTAGCAAGTTTATTACTATCTTGATTGATTTATTTATCTTTTAATGTCACCATATTGATTTGGATTCGACTTTGTTGTTACTATAGTAGTATGATGACTTTATAGAATGCTAATATTGACTTAGGGGTCACCAAAACTTTCTGAGTTCTGACTTATGGGGAGTAATATGAAATAACATCGAGAGGTGCAAAAGATGGATAGGTAAAGTCTCAAAGGATTAGCTTTATTGGTTCAATCGATCATCTGAAAATCTTGAAGTCATTTGGTGATCTTAATTGACTAGAGGCAAAGGTAAAAAGTGAAAATTTAGAGACAAATAGTGTGACCTATGATACTATTAGACCCACGAACTTTATACAGTTATAATTAAATACATTAACTCTTTACTGATGTGACATTATTTATTTATTTAATAAATTAATTATTTATATGTCTTGACAATAAAAGATATTTCACCATTCCATGGATCTTTATTGTAAACGTTTTCGTCTAAACTTTTTATTTCAAAAAAATAAATTAATTTAAAAATTAGAAAAACAGAGAAAGAAGATGACAATTCTATTTTAAAATTATTTTGGTGCCTATTTTACCTTTTTCCAACTTTAAATATATAAAAAATTAGTACTTCTAACTTTAGTCCCTTGATTTTAGTATTTTTATAGCTTTTATTATGATTCTTAATTTTCTTTTAGATTGTCCATATTCTAGGCCTGGGACATCCTATTGTATTGAGGTGATGGTGGTGGGTCCCATTTGGTGGGTGCTGATTTCTTGATTGCGACGGTGCCGTTTTGGACTTGTTCTAACATTGAAGATTAGATTGTAAATTTGTTACAAATTCAAAATTCTGGGTTGAAAAATTACAAGTGTAATACAACAAAGAGACTTTATGTGGATTTTGATTTGTATTCAAATCTTCTATTCCATGATACACATTTACTTCAATTGATTTGTAAATCTTTATTGGATTTGTTTTGTTTGAGATTGTCTCATGCGAAATATGTACTCCCTCTGTCCCATTTTGCATGTCTTACTTTCCTTTTTAGTTTGTCCCAAAGTGTTGTCCTCTTTCCAAAATTGAACATCACCATCATTCTACATTTTCCCAAATTACCCTTATGACTTTTGCTTTTATTTCCAAAAGTGAAAAAGTGAAGGGCATAATTGGAAAATACATAGCATTTACTTTAATTCCTTAAAAAGCGTGCAAAAAGCAAATGAGACAACCAATTTGGGACGGAGGGAGTAATATTTTTTAATAATATTTTTTTTTTTGAGATACTTCAACACCTGTTTAAAGAGATATTAAACTTGTATCCTATGTGTTCTCGCACCATTAGTGTAGGATTGAAACAAGTTCCCTATGCCTTACAGCGGTGCAGGGCCGGATTTTAGGCTGTGCAAGCTGGGCTACCGCACAGGGCCCCCAATTTTAGAGGGGCCCCAAAATTTAGAGGTTCAATATTTAATTTTTACCTAGCTAGTTTAAAAATAAAAATTAAAAAGTTTTTAATTAAACTTTAAAGGTTTTATGAAGAGATGGTAAGAATGTGTATTTATTGTATTTTAACTTGGAGGTCAAAGGTTCGAAACTTGCATGTATTAGTTTTAAAAATTATGATTTTGGTAGGGCCACATTTATTTACTAGAACAGGGCCACCAAAACTTAAAATACGGCCCTGCAGCGGTGCTCCCAAATTGTAGTCCCCCATGCCCAAATTGACACAGATTTGTTAAGTAATCAACACACTTATTCCCTTCTCTCAGGACATGAGAAACTTTCACCACAACCTCCTATGAGATCAAGTTCTTGCAATCCAGGAGGAGGGCTATCACACCCTAGTTCGTGATTGAACCCTTGTTGATAGCACTCACCACTCTGTCTAAGTCGGTGGAGGAGTCTGCCTCCTCGGTCAACGTCGATGGAGGAGGTGGTCGGCTCATCGTCAACATTGACAGTGGAGGCCGGAGGTGGCTCTGGTTTTATTTATTTATTTATTTATTTATTTTTATTTTTAAATTTATAAAAATTAATATTATATTATATTATATTATATTAAATAATTAAAAAACAATTATTTTATTTTTCATGTGGCATGTTAAATCAAAAGTTTATCAGTAACTTGTTACTTACCTACAAATAATGCTAATTGCACACATTTTTAATGTTAAATAATTTAATTGCACGAATCATACAAGTGTGATGGTCTATTTGATGCTTTTTCCAATTAAAATGTGTAGAATAGACCATTCAATGCATCTTATGGAGAATACTATTTATTTATTATAGGGAAAATGACACTTTTCCCCCCTATGTTATATACTTATAGCACTTTTTCCCCATCAATTATTTATGTAAGCACATTAGCCCCCTCAATTATTTTAAAAGTGGTGGTTTTTCCCCCCTGATATATTAAATTGACATTTCTACCCTTAAAGTAAACATTTTATTTATTTTATTTCTCCAACAAATTATTGTGTATATGTAGCAATGACCACGGTTCGGTCGAACTGAACCGGACACTATAGCAATCGAATTAAAAGTTTCCGGTTATGATTCAGATCTAGAATCCAATATTTAGATTTCAATTTATTAAATTTATGAACCAAAAAAACTGGATCATGAACCGTGAACTGGCGGTTCCGGATCGGGTTTGTGATTTTGAACCGTCTTTATTTTAAATTTTATTTTATCTTTTATTTTAAAATAGTCTAAATTCAACAATAAATGTATTTTATTTTTCAGTTTGGAACATGAACCGGCCATTTCGATTTGCGATTTTAATAAACTCTAAATATCGCGTTTTGATTCTAAATTGTAATTGGAATATTTTGGTTTGGTTGCTATAATATCTGTTTGGTTTGAACCAAATTATAGTAATAATTTGTTGGAGAAGAAAAATAAATGAAATATTTATTTTAAATATTTATTTTAAGGGTAAATATGTCCATTTAACATTTTAGGGGGGAAAAGAGCCACTTAAATAATTCAGGGGGAAAAAGTGCTATAAGTATATAACTCAGGGGGAAAAAGTGTCATTTTCCCTTTATTATAATTTTGCAGAGAAGTGGTTGAGATAATGAAGACCAGGGCCGTATTTTAAGTTTTGGTGGCCCTGTTCTAGTAAATAAATGTGGCCCTACCAAAATCATAATTTTTAAAACTAATACATGCAAGTTTCGAACCTTTGACCTCCAAGTTAAAATACAATAAATACACATTCTTACCATCTCTTCATAAAACCTTTAAAGTTTAATTAAAAACTTTTTAATTTTTATTTTTAAACTAGCTAGGTAAAAATTAAATATTGAACCTCTAAATTTTGGGGCCCCTCTAAAATTGGGGGCCCTGTGCGGTAGCCCAGCTTGCACAGCCTAAAATCCGGCCCTGATGAAGACACTTTTTAATAATTAATGATATAGGAAGTAGTTTATAGTCAGAGTTTGGAGATGACGAGGACATGCATATATATATATATATATATATATATATATATATATATATATATATATATATGGGATAAGGATCAAATATGCACTCAAAATTGTTTAAAATATGTAATTTTGTCTCCATTATTATTATTATTATTATTATTATTATTATTATTATTATTATTATTTAAAAAGTCTCAAATAGACTTTTGAACTTTAAAAAAGAATGCAATTCAACCCATTTTACTTTCTTTTTATTTTTTCGCTAGTCCAAGGATTTATTTGAGATTTTATTAATTTAGAGGCTTACTTGTATATTTTGGACAAATTCGAGGGTCTATTTGAGAGATAACTGTGTTGGGTCTATTTTAGTTCAAGGTTCTATTTGTGACATTTTTAAAAAAATTTGTTATTCTTAGTTCAGGAACTTAATTATTAAAAGATAATCTGTGTTTATTGGTACATGTGTCTACAAATACATATAGAATATAATATATTTTTATCTGTTGAATCATGTATTGTTGATACATGCATGTACCTAATAATATTAGATATAATAAAATATATCATTTTTATTGGTTGACACCGTAAAATTATTATTATTTGACAAGGTCGCCGAGATGTTGAAAGTGAAAGGTTTTATTGTAAATTTGTAGTTGCCTTCAATGGTTGGATTGATGGACAATTGTCAATTGGAATTTTGCTTTGCCTATAAAATGTCCATGATTTTGGATGACTCCTTAATAAATTCATTATTAATATTAGTGCTAAACTTATGGCTTATTATTCAAGTGAGCTTAATTTTCTTTAAAAAGATTTTAAATTATTTTGTAAATGAAACATTTGGTTTTATTATTATTATTATTATTATTATTATTATTATTATTATTATTATTAGTTTTTGCCCCGTGCGATGCACGGCATAAAATTTAAGTAACTTTATTATTGATAATATTTTAAAAACAATAAAATAAAATATTAATCATGAAATTAAAACTTATTATGAAATGTATTTTTCTTTAACAATACTAAATTGGTTGTTATATCGAACATCAGATACTGTTAGGATATATTATAAAGAATTGTGTTATAACATACCACATGAGATTTAAAAAGTGTACATTAAAATAATTATATATATATATATATATATATATATATATATATATATATATATATATACACACACACACACACACACACATTTTTATAATTTTTTTAATTAGGAAATCAAACAATATACAATAAAAAATTATGAAATTAAATTTTCTTATATATAAAAACATTTATTAATATGATTTGCAATTAAAGCCTATAGTACATATACTTGACAATATATAAATAAAAAATACAGTATCATCATTATACATTGAAACTAACTACAAAAATCTTTTCTTAAACATTGCTTAATAATAATAATTATATACGTACAACATATATAAATCTAAACTAAATATGAAATATTTCATGACATGAAAGAAAAAATAAAACCTGCAATGCTAAGCCCAATAAACATTTAATTATCTATCCATATAATCCAGTTACGCTGCATTTCAGCCCAATACCCGAGCCAATTAACCCAATTGTAAAACCTGATTACCAAACCCTAATCCATATTTTTTAACGATTGCGCTTCCGTCTACTCTGTTGCGTTCTTCATTCTCTCTAAAATGTTCACTGACTTACGCGAACCTTCTCTGTTTCCGGCGTCTTGACATACTCGATTTTAAATCATCGCACGTCCAAGTAATTCACTGTTAAAAAAATTTTCAAATAATCTGACCGTAGCTTTCGGCCGTTGTGGAATTGCTTTCTTTCCCAAATGCCGATCTGAAAAATCGGGTGACCGGAACAAATCTAAAACAAACTAATAAATACAGTATCATCAGGTAAAACTTATTGTTTAAAATGAAATTAAGAAATACATCATATTTTCTAATTACTTAATATCAGTTCAATAATTATTTGTTTAAACTTATTCGTCTCTCCAATATTATTGTTCATGCAACTGATTTAAATTTTAAAAAACTTTTTTTTTTTTCAATTTAGTAATTGATTTAGTAACTTTTTTAAAAAAAACCCTCTCAAAACTATATTAGAATGAATAATTAAATTGTTGTCGATCAACAAAATTGTAAGAATAAAAAAACAGGTTAATCTTATTTTTTAAAATCGGATACTCTAATTTTTTTTCAGTAAACAATAAATTAATTTATATAATAAAATGTTAACTTAAAAATACTGGAATGTATTACCTGCTTATCATTAAATAACAATAATTGTAGATTAACATGTATTGAAAATAGATAAGTATGCTGCATTATATACCTTAAAATGATGCAATTTCATTTAATTAGTATTTAATACCTTAACATTCAAAAAAAAAAAAGTATTTAATACCTTAAAATGATGCAATTTTATTTAGACGGGAAATTGATTGGCAAAAAACATTTTGCTATTATATAGAGTAATAAGATTATTATTATTATTATTATTATTATTATTATTATTATTATTATTATTATTAGTAGTAGTAGTAGTGGTAGTAGTAGGTATCCCAACTTGTCCGACTAATCCTAAACTCCCAGAGTTCCACTTCTATTTATACACTATGCATATGTGGTCTTTTCAACTCAAAGAATCACCACTGGAGTTTGATCTTGTGATAATCCATTGAAACGATAAACAAATAGTGTCTACATAGTAGTTGACCTTAATCTTTAATACATAAACTCAGATCAAAATAGTGATTAATTAGACACCTTTTGATCGAATCTTTTACTTAGATAATTTAGTAATAAAAATGTATGACGTCAAAATTTAGTTCTTTTAATGAAGTAATTAACCAGTCAAAGAAATGTTACATCAAATTAAAATTATTTTGTCAAAGGTAACATAGACCATCCGGGGCCTCTATAGGCCCATAAAATGTATGGATGACAGTGAAAGACCAATCGTTATACCGTGCATCAGTAGCATATAGTAATGTGCATCCTGCACATTTCAAAACGACGTCGTTTTGTTAATTTCAGGTATAAAATTTTGTGCATTCTATTATATAATTCTGTACATTCGAAACATGAGAATTTTCAGTTATAAAATTCTGTGTTTTCAGGTAGAGTGAATTCCATTTTTGGTCCTACTGTTATAGGGGCGTTTCCAATTTTAGTCCAGCTTAATTTTTTTGCCACTTTATAACCACTATTATTGAATGTGTTTCATTTTTAGTCCTACCGTTAGTATTTCCATCAAGATGTCATGTAATCTAGGGGTATTTTGATCTTTCTTCTCATCCAAGACTATGTTTGACTAAAGAAATGAAAATATTAAACCTAAAACCTAAGAAACCTCGCCGACCCATGTTGGAACGAACGAAAAGATGTAGTTTTGGTTTCCCATTCTCGTTGTTCGAAGAGCCATCTTCGAATATCGGAGGAGGAGAACGAAGTGCCTGGATTAAAAGAGAAGAGACAAACTAAAAAGACCAAAATACCCTTGGATTATACGGCCTCTTGACGAAAATATTAACGGTGGACTAAAAGTGGAACACATTCAATAACAATGGTTGTAAAGTGGCAAAAAATATTAAGGTGGACTAAAATTGGAAATGCCCCTATAATAGTAGGACCAAAAATAGAATTGACTCTTTCAGGTATAAAATTTTGTGTTTTTAGATATAAAATTCTGTGTATTCTATTATATAATTCTGTACATTCGAAACATGAATATTTTTTTAAAAGTTAAGAGTTTATGTGTATTATGTTAAGAGTTTATGTATATTATGTATTATGTTAGATTATGTGTATTATCATTTCAAAAAATAAAATTATGTGTATTCAGTTATAAAATTCTGTGTTTTCAGATATAAAATTATGTGTATTCTATTATACAATTCTGTATATTCAAAACATGATTTGTTTTTAAAGAAGTTAACAGCAGATACACAAAAAGATACAAAACGACATCATTTTGGGACTGGGCCACAATATTATTTGCCGTGAAAGACTGTACATCTAAGATATCACATCAAAATTTATTTATTTAATAACTCTATTACTCATTTACTCCTATTAGGGTGTTTTGCAATTAAAAAGAGATAATGGAAATGTGACTTTGCCTAGTCAAATATATATATATATATATATATATATATATATATATATATATATATATATATATAAAGTATCATTAAATGAATGCTAATATGTCAAATGCACGTGATTTTTAATTTGTAGAAGTTGATACAAATTAGTTCGATTAACTTTGATTTATGGGATAATTCGTAATCGGGCCGCTACTCGAAGATGTATTTTAAGTAAAATTTACGTTGTGACCTTAATCAGCAAACAACGACAAAGAAGTAAACTATAGTCTAGATTTTTTCATAACTAATTAACCGGCTCAAACTAATAATATAAATGGATTGTGTTGCTTTAATATAAGCACTCGATATTTCTTTATAATAAATGTATTGTATTTTTATACATGATAATAAATAAAAAATAAGAGAAGAAGTCAAAAAACAATTATGAACCACTCTACTAAAAAAGTCAATTCATTTTTTTTTTGAAAGCCAAGGAAATCATATTGCATTAAACTGAAGACGAGATAAAAGGTGGAGGATAATCCCTCCAGACCGAACGTGCTTTAGTCAATTCATTTAATAAATGAAAGAGAACACTATCTACAAACTATTGCAATGGGCTATGGCGGATTGGCGGGGAGTCGGGGACGGGGGCAGAAGATATATCCCCCCGGCCCCAACCATACATTCTCATTTTACTTTTTGCATTGCGCATGTTATGAAATTCATTTTCCATCCTTGTCCATAGAGGGATTTTGCGAATTTGTAGAATCCCTAACTTACAAATTTAATAACTTATATTTAATATAAAATTTATAACTACAAATTTCAATGTTAATGCATCTAAGTGATCAAAGTATTTGCCTAATAACTATCAACTTCAATATACGTATTTGATGTGATTCCACTAGGGACTCAACAATATCAAAATCCTTAATTTAGTAAAACCTATCCAAGTTTGACAAATGAAGGTTATAACTACAAATATGAATCATAATTCATATATGAATATAAAATATTAACTCTAAATTATTTATGAATTCTTGTTGATATATATATATATATATATATATATATATATATATATATATATATATATATATATATATATATATATAAAAGATTCCTTATCATATTCTACAGTATTAATAATTCATCAAAGTTCAAAGTAAGCCATGACTATATTATATTGGGACAGGGAATCTCCAGAACTTGGGCCATTTTCCTTAGCCAAATCATATATGCTTCATCACTTGGAATATTCATGTTTGCTTATAATAAGTAGTTGTATGATTGAGCTTTTCAGCTGTTTCTATATATTCTGTTTTTTTTTTAATATATATATATATATATATATATATATATATATATATATATATATATATATATATATATATTCTAAAATTCCATTTCATCTTTTGAAATTATATGTATTATTCTAGTGTTTGATATAGTGTGATTTTAGACTTAATTACATAATTTTATAAATCTCAATAAATATTTAATGTATTAGATAATTATACCAATTGTTATAAAATATTACATATATACAAAGGACATTATAAAATAATTAAAAATCTTTTAGACCATGTTAATAATAATTAAAAATAAATTCGTTTTACACGGAAATAAAAATCATATGAAATTCTCTTTTTCAAATATTCTACAATCTTGATATTTAATTTGAGAAGTGTATTATAGCCGTATTGACTTTTAAGAATGATCTTAACACAACATATTTGTGAAATACCGAGAGTGTAAACTATGCCCTAATGACACATTATAGATATTTTCATGGTGAAGCTATAGGGTATACGTGGAAGAGCTTAGATTATAAAAAGTTAAATAGTGAGATATGTTCGCAGAGTGTCACATATTCTTAGGGCAATCATTTTATCGTGGACTAGGGTCCAATATGAACATTGTAGACCCTTATCCAAATTATGTACATACAGTTAACACATTATGTACTTTTAGATAAAAGATTATGTGCATTCAATTATTATGTATATTTAGTTAACAAATTATGTACAATCAATTATAACTAAATGTACATAGTCTGCTAACTAAAAGTACATAATACTTTAACTATATGTACATAAATTGGCTCAGGGTCCATAATGTGCATGATGAAACCATGAGCTACGATGTAATTTGCACTCTTAGATAAGAAAATACTTAAATGTAGTGAATTTGAGTCAAGTGAGTAACTAGAAGCTAGAGGAGAGTGAGAAATTATATCATGGACCAGAGTCCATATTGCATCAAGGATTATATACCTACAAAATTGAGATTTCAATATTACAGATACTATCTTGTAATAGAGTCAATAGTATTCAAAAAAAAAAAAAAATGTTACATACAAGATGTTAGATATATGTACAATCATAAATTGGGTTCCCCTATTGTCCGAGCCCTAAGAAAATGCCAGGGTCCTGTTCCTGTTCCCATCCTGCAAAGCATCAACACAATACAAAAAAACATAACCAAACAACCTTAAATTCTCATCACCTAAGCTTCCAAACTTAGCTAGCTGAAGCATAGGTGAGGATTATGGTCAGCTAATTGAAGCATGTGTTCCGTCTCAACTAAAAGTTCAATCAGTAGTGGGGCACCGAGACTACACATTTGTATTCAATATATTATATGCTCAACAAGGCCAATAGCCCCGTTAGAAGTGTCCACGTTACCTCAAAAGGCCAGCGATTGTGCGGAGAAGCATGAATATGCTTAGCGCGATCCATATCCCGATAAAACCATTGTTTTCCAAGAGAAGGAACTCGGAGGCAATGGTCATTGCAGACACCAGAACCTGAAAAGACAAGACGGGATGAATTCTTGGAGCCTTTTTTCGATCCCTCTTTGTGTGTAAATGAAAATGGCAGGTGATATGTAGGCTAACCATTGAATATGCAGAGTAGAAGAAATCAGATGCTCCGAAGTTGATACCATCGAGAACAAACGCAAACGAATTGATTGGCTGCGTGCCTGCAACGAACTGATAGATTGAACAAAACAATGCCTTAGTTCATGATTTCTCGTTAACAAGAAAAAAAAAAAAAGTGTTTAGTTTGTGTTGTGGGAGATACCGGGATGGCTATGGTTATAAGGCCAATAACATTTTTGTCCTTCGAGAAAACTCCTGATCCAAAACATAAACCTAATCCCACGACAACAGCAAGTAGAAGTCCCAACACGAACCCCATCTACACAACATTTTTGTCTCCGATTATATAAAGTTTTTCAAAGAATAGCATTCGACCATTTGTATATATGTACCTGCAGCACTCTGAAAGCTACGGTCTCAGCTTTCTTGTAGTCTTTCTCAGCAAACGAAGAAGCAAGAATCGCCTAGAAAGCGAGACAACAGAATTGATCAGCACCTTAACTAAGGTTAGATTTTAGTATATACTATGTTAATTGTTGAGCATATAACATAAATGTGCAATCCAACTATCAGCTTAGACTTTTAGTTGAGATGGTGCACATGCTTCGATTTGGTATCAGAGCCATGCCAAAGGTCACGTGTTGCTTGGAGCACATCAAAAGTATCGGCCCACACACGTGAGGGGGCGTGTTGAGCATATAATATAAGTCTGGCTGGTATTCTGCGTATGTAATTACCTGTCCTGCAATGGCCAAGCCATCAGCGAGGAGCGATGAAGTCAACCAGACCTGTAAGCAGACTTGAAATGCGGCCATAGGTATCGAGCCTTGTCGTGCAGCCAGAGAAGCGGCCAGGGTCACACAAAATGTCGCGGCTATCACCCGTGCAAGTAACCAGAAACCTGCAGAAAATTCAATGAACGTTATAATAAGCAACCCGGAATTGCCAGAAATCTAATGGGAATGATTAGTCAAGAAGAGTCTCTTACCGTTCTTGAGAAATTTACTGAACTGCAAATCTTTAGAACTCGGTGGTAACAACTCGACTTCTTGCATCAACTTGCAAAACAGGATCAGTGCTAATAAGTACCTGTAGGAAAAGGCGAGGGGGTGTTAAGAAACTTAATTACGACAATAATACCGAACAGAAAATTAGAGATCAGAGTTTATGTGAATCGAGTTCTGACGCAAAGGCTTACTGAGAGATTACATGAGCAACAGCAGCACCGCTAACACCCAAACGACAAGCAAATATAAAGATTGGATCCAAGATTACGTTTGTTGAATTGCCTGCAGCTGTTAGCCCAGAAAATTAATGAGTTCTTGATGATTTTAGCCATTGAAGAGATCGAGCAACGAAGGGTCAGTTACAGAAGTAAAGATCTTATTTTCTTACACTAAGAATGATACGAAACTAAGGATTTGCTACTACTCACCAGTGGCATATAAAGGGGTTGTAGTATCCTTTAGACCGCGAAAGATTCCTTGCATTGCCAAGGACAGAAGAACAGCGGGGGCTCCAAGTGCTCTCAGAGTTAGATACTTTCGTGCGGGGTTTAACATGGGAGATTCCTGTATGGTTTCAAGAAAACCAAGAAAAGTTGTTAATGTTTCTGCAAATATATGCCACACTAATGAAATTCTCAGGTCAAGGAAGGAAATCGGGAGTTCGGGAAATTGAACCATGTGCTCCATCTCAACTAAAAGCTTAAGCTGATAGTTAGATTGCACATTAATGGTTATATGCTCAACACGAGACTATATGAAATGTTGGTGAGAACTGAGAACTAGAAGAAAACTCACAGATTTGACACCCATTAAGCTCAAAAGTGGTTTTGCCAGAACTACGAGGATGACTGTTTGGAGAAGGCCAAGAACGCAACCCATTATTAATGCAGTTGATGCAGAAGGGATCTGTTGTTTCTCGCGCTTAACTTTTCCTTTTCCTTTTCCTCCACCAATCCCAGTACCAATCGGAGATTGAGGCACAGTTGTTTCAGAATTTGATGAAAGAACTGCAGACCCCAAACTAATATGATTAAAAATTTACTTCAAAGAGTGCCTCTATTAATCTATTATCTATATACCGTTTTCTGGTGCAAATTCCTTTGTTTTGTTGCTCATGGCCGAAGCGTTCTCCATGTTTTCAAGATCAGAATCTTCTTCTGGCTTTAGTTCTATCAGTTCATAACCCTTGGGTGATCCTTTACCCGAGCCCCCCTCGATTCTTGACGATTCACTAATCTTTTTAGCGGTGCCTTCCTCTGCAACAAAGGAAGTTGTAATGTTAACGAGAGGGAATATGGTAACCTTGTTGGCTTGATTGATGATGGAAATGGCAACTCCAACAGCAGCAACTTCCACAGAACCTGTCACACACAACAAAAAACATTCATGATTTTGTTCTTCACTATCCAAGCAAAAGCAGCAGTTCACTTCATACCAAATCAAAGAAATAGTGATTAATTGCCAAAAAAATACACTAAAATAGTGATTACTTTTGCCCAACAAGGCGAAATTCCCTCGCCCTGGCCCAACAGATAGGACGGTGACTCGACAGCCCATTAGGTGGGAGGATCGGTGCCTGGTACCCAGAAGCCCACCACGTTAGATGTAACTCCCGGGCTGCCAGGCTCAATCCTGTGTCCCTACCCACAATCTACTAAACACGAACAAAGTGAATTGGCCCTATTTTGGTAACATAGTTAGCTTATCAACCAATTTTGGCTTATTTGACCACTATTAACTGTTTGACTTGGTTAAATAACCAATATAAGTGTTTGATTAATTAGCTTTTTTCTCCAAAACACTAAAATTCAAAAAGCAACTCAAAGTACTTTTTTTCGATAAGCTTTTTGAGAAAGTCATTTTGCATGTAATCAGCTAATGTACCAAACATTTTCTACAATCAACTAGTCAAACCCACTAACCCAATAAGCTAACAGCTATTTACCAAACACCTCCAATATGAATTAGTGCATACGTAGAGAATGGAATACTAAAAGGTTGAATCTAACCATAACCTAACCCATATGTTTTCTCTAAGTTTTCAAGGTGGATTCTCAGAAATGTGTATACCTAAATGCCCAATGAATGCAGTATCAATCAGAGAAGCAATGGGATCTGCAGCTAATGCAAGAGTTGCAGGGACTGCAATACACAGTATCTCCATACCCAGATCATCCAATCTGAAAACATGCCTGAAAAAAACATATTTCAAAAGAATCAGTCATCTAAAAAAACAGTAATATTTTTTGAAGGGGGAGAAGAAAAACTCAAACCTGACATCATTGAAGGTAATCAAGAATGGAAGCTTCAACTTCTTCAGAAGAGGAGCAAAATCATCATCATCATCTGCATAATTATGCTCAGCCATGCTATTTCTACTTGGTATTTACTAAAGGGTACAAACAAAATGGCTTAAATTTGACTAAACCCTCTGCAAATAAGCAGAAATTTTCAAGAAACCATAAAATTTGAGCAGAGTTGGAAGGAGGGAAGGTGAGAAACCCCTTTCATGCTCAGAAAAAAATTTGCGCTTTGTCCAAATGTTCACGTAAGCCTGTTGTGATGCTACCTAGTTCTTCATGTCCTTTCCCCAAATAAGCCTGCTTTAGCCCTTTAATTTAATTATTATTACGGACTATAATAATTTATTTATGGATGGTGCAATCTTGCAGCTACCAACTTACTTTAGTTTTATTTATTTTGAAATCACGAGAGAAATCACATTTATTGTCCCAATAATTAATAATGTTAAGAAAATTTAATGTGATGAACTTGACTTGAAAAATATTGATAGCAATTAAACTTATGATATTTGGGTACCAAAAATTTCATCCACTTAATTACCTTTTTGGACAAGAAAAATATATAATGTGTAAATCATTTTATACTCCTTACTTTTACTCTATATATAAAATCTTGATATAGACACTCGTATTAGGACTTTCATAAAAAAAATAGCTTATCAAAACTCGTCATATATTTCTGTGCTGGTTATTCAGGGGAACGGAGTGTTAGATATATTTGTATTCTAATGATTACTCAATATAAAATTTATTACCAGAAAAATCTAATCTTGCAATAGTGAAAGCGAAAGCAGTATTGATATCTAGTATTGTCTTTTGAGCAGTAGATTTGAGTAACTTTAATTTCTATTTTGTTTCATATAAGAAAAAATATAATACTTTTGATGACAAATGTAATACGAACTTTTACATCTTACTTTTTTTTCATAAAAAGTATTTAATTACAATCTCTTATAAGTAATGTTGGCAATTGTTTGTTACTTATAAAAGAAAATGTAATACTTTTGAGAAAAATGTAATGTTTTTAAAGCAAAATGTAAAAATATTATATTTTTCTTCAAAATTAAAGTACGGTATTATATTTTTTCATATAAGTAATAAACCTTTTATTATTGATTTAGTATTACATTTCTCTATATAAGTATTACATTTCATCTTGATCCAACAACCCGTCTCATGGATCATTGTCAATGAGACATCTCACAAGATTTTGTCAATATATAATGGCCCTGTTTGGTAAAAAATTGGTCTATAGGCCAATTTTGGCTTATTTGACCACTATTAATTGTTTGATTTAGTTAAAATATCAATATAAATATTTGATTAATTAGCTTTTTGCAACTTCAAAAGGCTAAAATTCAAAAAGCTACTTCAAGCAATTTTTTCAATTAGCTTTTTGAGAAAAGAAATTATACCAAACAACTATCAGCTAACAGCTAATTTATCAAATACTTTTCTACAATCAACTAATATTATCAACTATTTATACCCTCTAATTAACACAATCAGCTAACAGTAACAGCTATCAGCTAACAACCATTTTACCAAACAGGATCAATATATATTATAGGAAAAATCCAACATAGAGATATATAACTAGGCTCGACACTGAGGGCAGGCGATCGAGCTAAGCACCTATCCAGGGTTCCATATTGAAAGAATGAAAGTGATGACCATTTAACTTAGTTTTTTATTTGTTTGAAAAAAGTGCCAAATAGGTCATTTGACTTATTGTTTTTGTGTAATTGAGTCACTGAACTTAAAAAGTGTACAATTAGACTATCAAACAAACAAAATATGTGCAATTGACACATTTTTCTGATTTCTTTTAATTTAATGAACTTCAAGTTAAAAATGTTTTAATCTTTACTCCAAACTAGCTAGTATGGTAGAGGAAAAGACAACTCTTAGTACATACTTTGTTCTATGTAAATAATATGATAGAATTTTATCGGGGAAAAAAATAAAAAAATGTCTCAATTGCCCGCACACATTTTACATAATTGTTTGAAGGTTTGATTGCACATTTTCTAAATTTAGTGACCTAATTGCATAAAAGCTAGAATTTCTGTGGTCTATTTGATACATTTTCCTTATTTTTATGATGAAGTTAATTTTTATGTCATAATAGTCGATAACTAATAGTTACATTTACAGAAAAACAGCTTAGCTTTCCTTCTTTTTCCATGGAATCTTACTGCGCAGCGCAGCTAACAAAGTATCATGCACAACACTTGCCACGTACTGCATGCATACATCGGATGCTGTATGTATACAACGTACGGGGTAGCCGCAATTCATGGGATGCCCTCCACGTTTCCCACCCATGCAAGTACGCACGCAACATGCACAGCTCAGCTTCCATCCACTCTGCATGCAGCTGAGCTGTCCTCCACGTCGGAATCTGTTATGCCCATACAAGACCAGATGAGGCCACATACAACGAATAAGGAACAAGAAGGTGATAGTCAAAATCCAGTTGTTGAAGATGACATAGTTGGAGGGGAAAACAGGCCAACAAGGATAAGGAAACCTCCAGGATGGCTTGAAGATTATTTACATTAGAATTATAGTAATCAGTTACCTAAGTTGTTTTATTGGCATTAGAATTATAGTAAGCAATTACCTAAGTTTGTTTTTGTTTTCCTTAAACAATAGTTGGAGTAGTACTATATATATTTCGTTAAGACTTTTACAGAAGCATAGCCTGGAATAAAACAATTCTTATTCTTCTCTCCTTTCTTATTCTTCTCTGTCTCTCTCCTTCCTCATCTTTCGCATCAATTGGTGCTTTCATTCATCCGAACTGTGAACACAATGACGACTCCCTCCCGATCGGGGTCTCCAGAGATTTCTCCGGTTACTCCTTCCTTAACTGAGATCCAAGACCAAATAGATAGAGCAGCATTCACCAACCTACAATATCAACAACGTACCGATACCGCCATTCAACATATTGCTGGCACCATGGAGCGGGTGGAACGCATGGTGTCTGGTTTAGCGACAGTTCGGCAACAACCTCCTATGACCGGTCTTCTCGGTCCAGTTCCTAATCCCCCACAGCCAACCGTAACAATGCATGATTCACAGGCTAGCAATCACCGTCCCTTCACCATACGTCTTGAGTTGCCAAAGTTTGACGGTGATGATCCATGTGGTTGGATATTTCGTGCTACAGAGTTCTTTGATTACCACGAGATACCTGATGCTCAACGTGTTCGTATATCTGCATTCACCATGGAGGGAAAGGCGTCTGAATGGTATCAATGGATGAAACGCAACAATCTTTTCACCACATGGACGGAGTTTTTACGCCAAGTTGAACTCCGTTTTGGAGCCTCTGGACTCGAAGACTACCAAGGCAAGCTATCCAAACTGGCGCAATTAACGTCAGTGGCAGAATACCAGTCTGAATTTGAGAGTCTCATGAATAGAGTCTCTGGCATCTCTGAAGCTATTTTAATTTCTATGTTCGTTGCGGGATTGAAATCACATATCCGGCGAGAGGTTCAGCGTGCACGTCCTGCCTCTTTAATGGCGACTTTTTCCTTAGCAAGGGATCTCGAATCCCATTATGAAGATCTTCAGGTCGAGCTTTCACGGGATCGACGTTTTTCTTCCCGTTGGCCGGCAAAGGAGCCTACACCTATGCCATCATCTTCTGTTGTTGCATCTCCCGTTCCAGTGCCACTACAACGGTCGTTACCCTTACCTCCTACGGTGCCCTCGAACCAACCTAGAGACACATCTGCTTCACTGCCTATTCGGCGTCTGACACCTCATGAAATTCGGGAGAAACGGGCAAAAGGACTATGTTATAATTGCGATCAACGGTATACTGCCAACCATCGTTGCCAGAGTAAATTCTTGTTACTCCTTGGCACAGACGACGTCGACGATGTAAGGGATACCGCCACAGTGGATGCTATGGATGCCACGCCCCCTGATGATTTAGCTCTCTTGGGGGATAGTTCCAGCTTAAATGCCATGGCAGGCCCGGGCAACCCGCGTGCCTTGCAGTTATGGGGAGCAGTGGGTGACACACAAGTCCAAATCCTCATCGATGGAGGGAGTACTCACAATTTTATTCAACCTAGTGTCGCTGAAAAGTTGAATTTGTCGCTGACGTCGGTGCCACCCTTCCGGGTGTATGTCGGTAATGGTGACTCATTGCCATGCAACTACTGTTGTAAAAATACCACTTTAGTTATGCAAGGGTCAGAATTCTCGGTTGATTTATATGTCTTGCCAATCCGTGGCCCCGAGGTGGTGCTAGGCGTACAATGGTTACAAGGACTCGGTAAAGTGGCGCATGATTATGCCAACTTAACGATGGAATTCAAATGGCAAGGTCGCGATGTGGCATTAACTGGGATTCAGTCTTTAGCCCCTAGACAGGTCTCTTTTACGCAACTACAGGCACTGATGGATACAGACGATGCTGTGGAGTTATATGAGCTTTTCATGTTGCCTACAACGGACACCACAACTCCAGATAATGAACCCATCAAATTTCCGGCTCACTTGCACCCGGAAATTTTACAACTCCTGCGCTCCTATGAGCATTTATTTCAGGTTCCTAAAGGGCTGCCACCCCAACGGTTCCTTAATCACCGCATCAGTCTCCTACCGGGATCAAATCCGGTCAATGTACGGCCGTATCGTTATCCTTATTTTCAAAAGGCAGAAATCGAGAAACAAGTTAAGGAGATGTTGGAACAAGGCATCATACAACACAGTCAGAGTCCATTCTCTTCTCCGGTCCTACTTGTAAAGAAGAAAGATGGGACATATCGATTTTGTGTTGATTATAGGGCTTTAAATGCAGTCACAGTTCGTGATAATTTTCCTATACCTACTGCAGACGAACTCTTCGATGAACTGGGAAAGGCACGGGTATTCTCTAAACTCGACCTCCGAGCAGGTTATCACCAGATTCGAGTACATGCTGATGATGTTTACAAAACTGCTTTTCGTACCCACGAAGGCCACTATGAATTCCTAGTCATGCCTTTCGGCCTAACTAATGCTCCGTCAACTTTTCAAGCGACAATGAACAGAATATTCTCCCCTTTCTTACGTTGCTTTGTCATCATTTTCTTTGATGATATTCTAATTTATAGTGCCAATTTGACTGACCATGCGCGTCACTTACTCCACGTATTGCAAACCTTCGGAGACAATCACTTTTATATCAAGCTTAGCAAGTGCCATTTTTGCCAGGAGTCAGTAGAGTATCTTGGCCATATCATTGAACAGGGACATGTTCGACAAGACCCGGCTAAAATTGCAGCGATGCTCAATTGGCCGA